ATTTTGAAGGAAATGGAGGCATACACATAATGGTAAATGTTTTCTGACACACCTATCATCTGTTACCAGACAGATTCTTCAGATGATGTTAATTCCCAAAGAGTTCTTGCATAAAAGCACTATAAAAGCATTTAATTTTATTTCTTTCCATGTTTTAAAAAACATTATTAGTGCTCTAGTTTGCTGTATTTAGTCTGAGCATAATATAAAAGCTACATAAGGGCTGTAAATAAAAAATATGCTTTGCCATATGTTGAAAAAAACCTCATCTTTGTAACAGTATGATTATATTTCTGCTTAATGTAGCGATTTTGGAGGTGTAAATTTAAGACCTTTTTTATTTTCAAAACTCTTAAAATGGAAGGAGGCAGATTTTGTTCACTTTGCTATTGTAAATATCTTGAGCAGCCTCTGCAGAGAACCATCCTGCCAGCCCAGCATCTAATGTTTTCGGTGGACTATGGCCATGTTCACACTGCACAGCTGACCCACTTCAGTGCCAATATCCCAAGCTAAATGACTCAGAAAAGACTGCATGCACAGCTCTTAAAAATTATTGCAGCAGAGGATCTACTGAGCGCTGATATTTGCTGCAGTGATAGTTTGTATCCTGTTTAAAAATTTGGTATCAAAGGGAATTCTTTCACGTAGTCTTTTTAACCATCAGGAAAGTATTTATTCCTTTGGGGTTCTATTCAGTTACTGTGGACATGCTCAGTTACCTGCTGGCTTCTAAACTGCCATTTTAATATTTTTATAGGCTTTTTTTTCTCTTTGTTTTTGAATACTTTGGTAGTCATTTGAAGAGGTGTCAAGTAGCAGGTGAATAGCAGCATGCTAAAAATTAAACTATCCTATTCGTTGTCTGAAAGGCAAAGTGACTCAGAGGAATTCACAGCAGAAGCAGATTGCAACATGTAATCAGAGGAAGTAAAATAGACTTGCCTTTGTCTAACCCATTTCCACTGCATAAAGGAAATAAGCATTGGCTTACCCTGCTGGGCTGATACTTTTCGTGTTTCTGGACAGCCAGCAGCTTTCCAAAACTGTAAGTCCTGTAGCATAACATGTGTGATTACATACAGAGCAGATGTTGCTGTTGTGCAGAAAAGCAGGGAACAGCAAGGCAAAAGTTAGACTTCAAGAAGGTATTCCCTGTGATTTGCATCCTTGATGAGGCGGGGAGGAGCTTAACCTCACCAGAGCAAGGCAGAGAGATCTGTTCCCCTCTTACATGTTACACAGCACAGTCACTAAGTATCTGGAGAAACTCTGCCTGACTGCCTGGCACACTTCCTCTTTTGTGCTCTTCCTTGCTAGTCTGACCTTTTCTAGTCATTATTAATTAACAATATTTTCATGAGGGTGAGAACAAGTGTTTTCACTAGTCAGAATTCTGATTCCTCAACTTACAATATTTCATGTTATTGCCTCCCTGGCTCGTATTTTGTTGAGCAGCAGTAATGATTTGCCTGCTGCTTGTTGCTCTTCGATATCCAGCTGTTAAAAGCCTGCTCAGGCTAACCAGACTGCAGATTCTTACATGGAGCAGTTAACGTGGAAGGGCCCAGCTGATGCACCTCAGCCATGACCTGGAGGAACCACCATGAGGCAAGCCACAATTATTTAAGCTCATTCACTTAAGGACTGTGATGGTGTTTGGGTTGCAGAAGGGACATCCATCAGGACCTTCAGACCACACAGGCCTTTGGACAGACCTCAGATGGTTTCCATACTAAAGAAGAAATCAACATTAGTTGGGCTGCAAAATCCATACACTGCATAATGAAGAAACATTATTCTAAATCGGGCTCTCAGATTAATGGTTTTCCTTCCTGTCCTTGCACAACACTGCAAGCTCTCTGCAGAGCAGCCAGCAGCATGTATAATGGATTCCAGACTACTTTAGTTATAATAATATTATGGCTATACATGGTCCTCTTTTACTCAAGTAAACAATAAAGTGATCTGCCACAACAAAATTTTTCAACATCTTGGGGATGGTTCTACCCGCTACATACTATGACTTGCTTGATATTTCTCTCTCGCATACCTGTTTCAAACATAGATTTCATTGCCAATTTATAGCATTTAAATTAGAACACAGAAAGAAACAACAAAATAAAAATCACATATTTTTGTTTTTAAATCCAGGAAGATCCCAAACTGCTTTACAAACTGCAGATTAATCTTGCCATCTTTCTTGGCATAGTTTTTTAAACTGTCAGTTCTCTACAATAAGGATACATAAAGTCTTTGGCATTGCTGAGATTCTTGATGTGCAAGAATCACTTCCCTATTATGATCATGTAGTGTCTTCTAGAACGGGCATGTTTTTTTAACTGTACTAGAATAGATGTAGTACAGGAAGCTAACAACTTCAACATCTGTCGTCATGAAAACTTGAAGACTGTTTTGGGAAATGTTTTTAGCAGTATTTTTTTATGCCCTGGGATATAGGCATCTCTCACAGGATTAAAGAATCTATTTTGTATTTTCAAAACACTCATCAGTAAACAGGAAATGTTTTTATGGTATGATGCCACATATATATAACCATGCTTGTGAGGTACTAAAGAAAAATGCTTATTTTCTTTACAGAGGAAAAAGCTGAGACAAGTTTAGGACACATTAACAATGCCAATGCAAACTGAAAACTTGATTTTATAGGTTGAAAACCTGCTGTTATCAGAACATTTAAGAGGTTGGTGTCATCACCTAGAAGAATGGAAATTGAGGTATAAAATACAAAAAGATATTAATAGATTAGGTAATTAAAAAATCAGTGATGGAAATTATAACTCCAGTAGCTCCACTGCATTTCTTCACTGATAGCATTACTGCATATTTAGAAGTACTGACATAACCCATTCAATATAGACTGCAGCAGAACCAGACTCTGAGACTTTCTATATAGCAAAATTACTGTATTTTCATGTATGTAATCTGCAGATTATCTAATGGAGAAATAAATAGCCAGGCAACCTCCTTTTAATCCCCACTGGTTTAGCCATTGCTATAATACACAAGTCTGTAATTTTCTGAGGGAACTGTTTACTCAAAAACCTCTTTCACATGCTGAACACCTTGCCTGAGATCACCAGTGCCTTTTTCTTGTTACTTTTTATCTGTTCAACTCAGATCAAGTCATCAGTCAGCAATGGTGAATTTCAAAAATTGCAGGTTATAAGTTTGAAAATATGGCATCTCTTGTGGTGTTTTACATACTGAAATACAAGGGAAAATTATAGTTTTGCTAAGGAAACATCTAGTTATTTCTTTCATTGAGCAATGAAAGGATTAGAAAACAAAACAATTTTATGGGAACTGAGGGGAGCACAGACAGACAGTTCACTGCAGAAGGGATGAGGTTTACTGGGGTGACTTATCAATGCTCATCTCCTGCAAACGCAGGAAAAGGAGCATATGGTATATGCTCACCTGATCCTAACATACATTCCCCGCTTAATGCTTCAAAAGAGAAAAAGCAAAGAGACAGAACACTTACAGTCAGTAAGGGAAAGTGACCAAGAATACTCCCAGAATTATCTAATAATTTCCTTTAATTTGTAATGGTGTGGAGGAATTGGTATGTGGCTAATATTTTTTATATATGTGTATACATTCACTCAATCAGTATGGATTTTTATATACCCATATGCACACGCACATGTATTGAGCTAGAATAGAATTATTGTACTACTGCATATGCTGGTCTTAACCTGTATGGCAATTCTGAATGAAGACTGGGAAATCAATGTACAAAAAAAGCTGAAGGAATTAGGGGAAAAAAAGAGAAAAGAGGAAGAAGTAAAAAGAAGAGTGCTTACAACTAAACACAAGCAAGTCTCCATCTTAAGTAGTACTGTTAGACTCTTCTATTGGGCAAGGCCTGCTAGAATAACCCTTAAATCTGTACTGCATGTATCCACCACTGACAACCATGCCAAAAAAAAACACTCCTCTTCCACTGATTCTTGTCCTTGTGTCAAACTATCACTACCTTTTCTATTACAAAAAATATTCAACCCTGTTTGCTCTAGATTTACATTTAAAATTAAAAGGCAAGTTATGAAATAAAAGGATTACTGCTGTCACAACCCTATCTGCAACACAGTGCTATGCAAGGGTTCAGGACTTACCCTTCTAAAATATACACCTATCTGTCCTATCTCTGCCCCCTTTCAAATCTTTATGGTCTCTTGCAAAGAAAAAAACGTGATGCCTTTCTTGACAGCTTATTTAGAGCATTATTATATTCAGCTCTTTTCTTTTGCTTCTGTTTTTTTTGGTAACAACAGTCCAAAATCATTCAATGTCATTTTGTCCTACAGCTATCAGTATTAACTTCTTATATTGCATGTTCTGCCTGCTCCTGAATTATGTCTCCCCGATTTGGTCTGCTTTTTGGGGGGCTTTATTTTGTTTTTGTGGGATTTAACTTTGCAGTAGCTTACTTGTTTCACTCTGTCAAATCAGATCAAGCTATGCCTTTTTTTTTTGGCTATGCATATAAAAAAGCTAACCTGGTTTGTTTTTGTATTTTTTCTGCATCTCATACCACAAATAGTGTGGATACGTGATATCTCACACTGAAGCTATTTCAGTGTTGCAATGTATGCAACTCTTAAAACAAGTCCAACAGACACGTAGATACACACAGCAGTTACTCTCTGATGTTAGATTAAAATTAATTTTATAATGGTTGATGTAGAACAAAGACTTTCAGTTTATTTGTATCATACAGTGGTAAAACTATTTAGCACAAAAATATGCCAGAACCTGTTTCTCCGAGAACAATATTAAAAGATGACTTTTATTCCAGATTAAGAAATCACTCCTACGCAGTAACTCTGTAAGACAATTCATGATATAAAGAATTATGTGCTAGAAATAGTGTCATTCAGCCTGAATTTGAAGGCACTTCTAAACACAGGTGACTGTTCACACTACTAAACTACAGAGTCAAAAACTATCACAATATGGCTTAATTTACTTACCAGGCAGATGTACTCTGAAAAGTCATCAGGGGTGGGCTTAAAGCATCTCCTTTTAAAGTATGCACTGTCTGTGATGTTTGAGGCTGTGTCTGAGTTTGAGGCTGTGTCTCTGGCTGAGGCTGTGTCTGTACTTGGCTTGGATCCTGAGCAGGGTTAATCCATCGGCTCTGTCCCTGTGTCATCCACTTTCCCTGGATGCCCCACCGTGCCAGGTAAAATTTGCAAATGTCATAGTTCATTGAAGAGTAATATAAAAGGTCCAGTATAAGCAAGATCACCACAAAAAAGCCATAGATCCACACTCCTAACAGTGCACTGTAGTTGCTGTGAAAGAAAAGAGAGAAAACATAAAAGTTATCTATATATCAGTAATGGTTGTAGCATTAGTTTGTCAAAGATAACATATATAACATACTATAATAGTAATATAATATAATAGGGTGAAACAAAAATTCTGTTCTAAAGCATATGTCCTTAAAAATTATTCATTATTTCAATCTAAATACTGCTATATGCATGAAATAAGAGGTTTTTAAAAACTAAGTCACCCTGTCTCACAAACATTTTTATTTCTCCCTCTCATCTGAGTATTTGCATCAGCACATAAGTGTGATGTACAATTAGCTTTGATGCTTATGTATTGGTTGATGGATCGTATGCCTTACTCTGCAAATTCTCTCTCCCAGAGTCACCCTACTGAATGTGACAGGGCATTTATGAGAGTGATGGTATTAAACATATAAAATATGCTTAAAAACTGAGACTGAAGAGTGTCTACACTATTGAAAACTTTCACTGCTGACATATATTATAAACCACTTGTCTTAAAAGATGTTTAATGTGCTTGGATTTGCTCTGAATGTAATAATTAATTATTGCTGGATACAGTAGGTACTAGTAGAAGTATAGGCTTCCAAGAGCAACTATTAAAGATCCCTTAGTTTGCTGGTAATAAATTGAAGAGTAATATAAAAAGAAGAAATAACATAGACAAGATCGTATACAATACATTCCACATGAAGGAAAATATGTACTACATTTATAAGTATACATTTGTATAGTTGTAATGTGTATATATAGGTAAAAGCCATGAAAATTATCAGATGCTGACATGGTGCACAGAGCTGTAAAGCTATGACAGGTGACTAAAGATATTAAAAGAAACTGGGGGCGAGGGAGGAACAGGTATAAGGGATCAAGAATTTAGAGATCAAAAGGGTAAGAAATGCTAAAGCCCTGCTGGAGATGCAATATTATTAAAAGAAAAATGACTGTCAGGTGTAAATGCAGTTTGGACTGGAAACTCTGTGAGTGAGGAGAATGAGGTCAGAACAAAGAAGGAAAGAAATGGATAAGAATGGGACTGTCAGATATACAGCAAAGAAGGCTAATCTGGACCTAGAAGTTAATATGGAAGTATGTGTACCAGAGACTGTGAAATAAACAGCAAGCAGAAGGGATACTACCAAAAAAAATGTCATTAGGAAGACAGTCTTGGAGGAAAATTGCACTGAATTAAAAAGTGGGCAACTCACATCTACATGATCCTAAACTTACATAAATTAAATTTGAACACACACTCAACCATGATTTCTTTCACATTCAGAAATACTTTGAGAGAACTGGATTTTATCAGAACATTGATCAAAACAGAAGTGCTTTGAGAATGAAAATGCTGAGAAGACCTAGAGATGCAAGCCAGAAAGATATTTTTGCTTTTTAAAAACATGTCCCAAGCCTTTTCAGATGTAAAACATTTCAAGTCTCTGCTTTGAACTTTCACTTCCATTTAAAGTTCTCTGTGACTCTTTCATTTTATACTTTAAAAATAAAAACCCAAACCAAAAATAAAAGAGGATTTGAAACAAAAAATCAGATAGAAATGATTTTCCATAGCAAATAACTGTAAGTAACAAAAGGAAGGTCAGAAATGCTAATGGGTCCACCCCTGTGTAATTTTAGGATTACGCACACCTAGGATTTAAAAACAAATTCAGTATATTTCCAGGAGGATTAGAAGTAGAAAAAATACAGTGCTTCTGAAAACCTTTAACTCAAGAGTCTTTCACTCTACTAAAGACTTACACATTCATGCTTAACTTCACACAACAGTGGTTGGATATTTGTAATGCATTAAAATGTTTGCATTTCAGACACTTCAGAATACAACAGGATCTGATTAATGCAGGCTTCTCAGCAGCGTCACTCTTGACTTTCAGTGCATTTATACCTATTGGGGTAAAACTCTTCTCTTTCCACTGAATCACTGAATGGTTTCGGTTGGAAGGGACCTTAAACATCGTCTGCTTCTATCTCCCTGCCACAGGCAGTGACACCTTCCACTAGATCAGGTTGTTCCAAGCCCCATCCAACCTGGCCTTGAACACTGCCAGGGATGGGGCAGCCACAGCTTCTCTGGGCAACCTGTGCCAGTGCTTCACCACCCCCACAGCAAAGAATTTCCTCCTAATATCTTATCTAAATCCACCTGTTCCAATTTAAAACCATTGCCCCCTGTCCTATCCCTACATGCCCCTGCAAAATGTCCCTCTCCAGATTCCTTTTAGGCACTCTTTAGGTACTTAAAGGCTTCTCCAAGGTCTCAACAGAATCTTCTCTATGCTGAACAAGCCCAACTCTCTCAGCCTGTCTTCACAGAAGAGGTGTTCCATCACTCTGATCATCTTCATGGCCTCCTCTGGACTCACTCCAACAGGTCCATGTCCCTCTTGTGTTGGGGGGCCCCAGAGCCGGATGCAGTACTGCAGGTGGAGTTTCATGAAAGCAAAGGGGCAGGATCACCTCCTTTGACCTGCTGGCCACGGTACTTTTGGTGCCACCCAGCATACGTCTGGCTTTCTGGGCTGTGATCACACACGGCTGGGTCATCAACCAACACCCCCAAGTCTTTTTCCTCCAGGCTGCTCTCAATCTGTTCTCCACCCAGCCTGTATTTGTGCTTGGGACTACCCCAGTTGATGACTCTGCAGTAATTAAAACTCAAGCAGGTTGTACGCAAAATAGCTGCAATTTCGTCAAAGAAATAGTGATTGAGGAAAGGAATGATAGAGGTTTGTTTCTGCAGCAACTGAAAAGATGCTTCCAAAACCAAGTATAATATACAATGAAATGAAATAAAATAAATCAAGTGCTTTGAATGGAAAAAGAAAAATCAGTTTCAGAAACTGTTACAAGTTTTCTGCTACTATAAATAAAATGGAAGTGAAGCCTGGAGAAATCAGGAAGAAATACACTGTAAGAAATCCTATTCATCACTAATACCAGTAGGATCCATTTTACTAATAGGTGAGCTGTACTTGATCTATAACAAGAATGGAAATTGTTTTGACAACAATATGAGAGCAAGGAACTCTTCTTACAGTTAACTTAAAAGAATTTGTTTGTATTTTAGGTATTTAGTTTCACCCATCAAAATTTTGGTTAGCAAAATTAGACCTATTTTGAATGTTCCAATTTAAAGCAACAATTTATAAATCATGCCATATGTGAGTTATCCATCTGCTCCTTCTAAATAACATCTGTTTCTCACAAGGACAAATTGAAGGATTGCTTTAATTAACAAACAATGGGACAACAGGACTATCAAGAGGGCCCTGTGAAAAATCACAAGCAAAATTAATAAGTAGCATGTTTTGTACACAGAGGGTAATTCCATACTTTGATATTTTCCTTTTCTCAGACTATTAGGATGTAATGGCTACTAATTATAGAAAAAATAAAATTCCCCTACAAATTAAGATAATGTCTTAATTAGAAAACAGACCAAACTTCTTACTCTGTAAGGCCAGAGACAGAAGAGAGAACTTGGAATCAAAAACCAATTAAGACTTGCTCTCATTTCACTGAACTGAATGATTTAATTGTTAAAGTTTCATATTGCAATCTGATTTTCCTGTTTGGTTTTTTTTTGTGTAGAATTTTCATTTAAACTAAAAATAAAGTGTGAAAAGATTCCAAGTTTACCAAGATTCAAATTGCAGGGGTTTGTTCCTTCACAGGGACAATCAAGTATAATCAGTTTTTTCGGTGAGGTTGTATCTCCTCTCCACTTCCCCACCTGGGTAGCTTGCCCTGCCCTGCCAGTTCTCTTGCTCATCCCAGTCAATTATTTTGGAGGATTCTGCTTAGGCTCAACACAATGTTTAGCGGTACAACACTAAAAATTCATTCTAAAGCTGTGTTGCTCCATCTTCTACTGCTGCTGGCACTCAAATACAAAAGCTAAATCTGGAGGATAAGTTACAAGACAATTTCCTTTCAGCTTCCCTGTGAAACAGGGTAATTCACAGACCACCAGAAAAGCTTAGTAGGTCGCTTTTTTAAGACACTTCATCTTTTAAGGAAGTATGGTGTGTATTTGGATTAGCCTTGATACAGAGCCCACTTGCATAAGTGGAAAGGTTTGTTCTGACTTCAGGGAGCCTTGAACTGGGCTCTTTGAGAACAGTAAATTCTTTTACCATCTATCTCCTCCTATTTCATCTACAGAGCCTTGCTTAGATTTCTCTAACACCCTTACATGCAAATAAAAAGTCAGGTACTTCTATTACTGTTATTACCCACATGACTCCTTCCATCTAATCCATTAACTTTTTGAGACATGACAAGCAGGTTAGGACCAGGATATATTTCTCTTTTACAAGAGTTTGTGTTTTGTTTTTTTTTATGTGCAGCACATGAACAGAAAATAGTTAATTTGGGAATTCAGGCTTAAAAAACCAACAAATCAGAACAATTGTGAGCAGAATTCTACAGCTGCAGAGTTTAAATGTGGGCAGATGGCCATGGAAACTGCTTCTTTCCCTATTTTCTTTAAACAGGGCTGCTACTCGGAGTAGTAACACCTTCTCAATATTGCCTTAAGGAAATGCAAGCTTACATCCCAGGAAATGCTTCATGCTTCCAACACTGTGGAAATCTGTGCAGTTTTTCTGTATATACTTTAAATGTGATATTTTTTTCTATTTTGCTTTTATTATTATCTCAAGGTATTTTCCCAACCCAATGTTTTCCTGCAGAATCTGTTACTGTAGTACCTAAAAGGTCTTCCCAGCTAAATTGCATATTTTTGCAGCAGTTGGTAGTGGAATTGACAATCTTATTTATTTATTTATTTGCTTCCTTGCAAACATGACTTTCTGGGAGATATTTAAGCAAATGGCAGCTCTGCAGGGGATGTACTGTACCTGTGCTATTTTATCCTCACATTGCTTTTGGTGCAATGTTGCAGTGTGGTGTGCAAAAGCCATTCAATCCTGAAAAACTAGAATAATAGATAAGGAAAAACACGGATGCATTACAGACTGCCATAACACTGTTCCAGTATCAGATTAAGCACCCCATGGATAGTAATATTGCTGATAATCGACCAAAACATGCATGATAGAAAATCTGAGAGGGCATGAATGTTAGATTGAAGTGAATGTCTTAACTTATTAGGCAAAGTTTTATGGAAAAATACTTCGGATGGCAGAACTTATCTGTTAGACACCATTGGTATTTCTATATTTAATACTAAGTGAATTTTTCACATTCAAAAATATTAGACTGATTAATCTGCACAATCACAAAGATTTAATAGCCCAGTATTATGCACTTTTAAAAACATAGAATTTTTTTCTTATAGTAATGGAAAAATGTAAATAAACCCGGCTATAGTTATACCATGTGACTGTAGAAGACAGATGTGCTTTTTCAGCTGTGCAACAACAAAGAAGTTACAAGTCACTTCATTAATTTTTCCCTCAACTGTATTATAAAACATGAAACTTGTTTTGATGATCGCAAGAATGGCCAAGGGGAAAAATAAACCAAATAATAATATTGAAATAAACCAAGTAATAATATTGAATCACTCTTCCCTGAAAACTATAATCCTTTCTTTCAGTTCACAGCTACTCCCCTACCCTAAATCATTCTCCCCAGCCACAGTAAAATAGGTTTCATTAGAATTTTTTTTTCAGTGGTGTGTGAAATTAGATCCAAACAAAGAGTTACTGTAAAGTGAACCCTGGATGTATTAGAATCCAAATAAAGTTAAATTACCGTATATGTTAAATAAAGTCAGAGTGTACTAAAATGCTTTTTACAATATTTTTAATGTAGGCATCTAAGCTTCACTTTTTTCTGCCCTTCTACAGCATACTAAAATTACTGGTCAGTTTTCTAGTAATCTCAGTGAGTTCAGAGTGAGGAGATCTCTCTCCCTCTATCTCACTACAGTGGTAGATTTTTACGTAGAAAGTTAGCGTCTCCATTTTCCCAACCCTGACTGATATCAGAAGTGATGTTTCAGGAAGTGACAGAAAAGCAATATCAGTTCCACTCTTTCATTTCTCTAAGCTACATCTCCAGAACCCTTTTATTGTATTTAGCATGATTTCACACACCTTGGCAAAAGATCAGCACACAGCTAAATGTCCACAGGAAATTCTGGATGGCAACATACATGGTAAATAGTGTGTAGGTAGGCCTCAAACCATGAATCTTACCAACAGAGACTACAGACGTAGCTCCTTCTCCATCACAACAGAATGAGCTGATTTTTTAAAGGAAAAAAAACAAGCAAACAAACAAACAAAACCCAAATCCAAAATTCCAAATCAAACCGATGGCTAAATGAAAATAATGTAATACTGACACTACTCCCTGAATATTTTCATTAAAATCAATATTATAGTTCATAGAATACCAAATTACATCTTCCCCATTGAGGAACTGCTCACACAATGGCCCTATAATTTATTGGGGGGGGGGAGGGGATGGGCAAGGGGTGTGCATGTGTGTGTACACATACATATGTGAGCAGACATGAAAGCAGAGAATGCAGGAGGCAGAGAAATGTTCTATATCCCAGTGCATATTTTGCAATCAGACTGTACCTGTTCCTCTGCATGCTTGATTTGGAAAGGGGCTGATTGCTCTGTCTATTTCATAGAATCATAGGTTAAGGTTGGATGTTAGGGTTGGAAAGGACCTTAAGATCACCTAGTTCCAACCCTCCTGCTATGGGCAGGGATGACTCGCACTAGGTCATGCTGCCCAAGGCTCTGTCCAACTTGGCCTTGACTATTGCCAGGAATGGAGCATCCACAACTTTTCTGGGCAAGTGCCTCTTCTGCCTCTTCTTCCAGTGCCTCACCACTCTCACAGTAACAAACTTTTTCCTTATATCTAACCTGAACTTCCCCTGTTGAACTTTAAACCAATTGCCTGCTGTCCTACTGCTACAGTCCCTAATGAAGAGTCCCTCTCTGGCACCCTCATAGGTCCTCTTCAGATACTGGAAGGCTGCTATGAGGTCTTCACGCAGCCTTCTCTTCTTCAGGCTGAACAGCCCCAACTTTCTTAGTCTGTCACCATACAAGAGGTGCTCCAGCCCCTTGATCATCCTCATAGATCTTCTCTGGACTTGTTCCAACATTTCCATGTCCTTCTTATGTTGGGAACACCAGAATTTTACACACTACTCCAAGTGAGGTCCTACAAGAGTGAAATATAGGGTCAGGATCACCTCCTTCGACCTGCTGGTCACGCTCCTTTTGATGCAGGCCAGTACATGGTTGGCTTTCTGGGCTGGGAGTGCACACTGAAGCTGGCTCATGCTCAGTTTCTCATCAACCAACACCCCAAGTACCTCTTTGCTGGGCTGCTCTACTCAGGTTGTTAGTGAAAAGAACAGAAGGACCTTACCTTAGTAATATCTGGCCACATCCCATACTCTGTGATGAAGTTGCCTGTTAGGCAGACTTGGTTGCTTATCAGGGTTGGTGCAGGGTTTACAGAACATTAAGGGAAGACAGAAATTTGCTGTGTGCAAGACAAAGAACTGCGTGTGGGGGCAAAAGCCATGCTACTCCATTCTTGAGACTTTCTTTTTACTACTCTGAGTGTGAAGCAGTTTGTGGCTCTGTCTGTGAATGTATGCATAACCCTTCTGTACTAAGAGTCCTGTTAGGACCTCTTTTCAGGCAGTCATCCAGATGCTGCCATGTAGCACAGTCATCCCAGTAAACAAAGGGGAAGCGCATCCGACTTTTACCATGGAGCAAGAGTAGACTATGCATTGCATTTGGGCACTGGGGCATACTATGGTATAAACTCCAGAAGGCTGCCTAGAGGCATATTAACAGAGTTGAATAGCCCCAGGTGAGGGTGCTACCAGTTTCTAGGTTGTCTGGACTTCACAAAGAGTGGAGAAAATGTATAGTCTTTAATCGGCACGTTAGACTTGAAGTATCTCCCCAGTGGTCTGTGTGATATGTTCTCATGATGTTCTCAGATGCATTATGAGGCCAAATTGCACCTCGAGGACATAGCTGCACATGCAATAACAAGACAGTATAAATCCACATTAATATAAAGCATCTTACAAGGGCAGAGTCTATTTTTGTCTTTCTTTTACACCACACAGTACACAGACTCCTTTATAATAGGTGATTGTCATGTAACAACTGTCAAGTTAGGGTATGCAACTCCTACATGTATGCAAGATTCAGACTTCTCTAGGTAGAGCTGTATAAGCAGGGGCTGTTCAGGAAAATGACAGTTTGCTGGCACAGCTGCAAGCAGTAAGTATTCCAACACCATAGCCTCCTAGCAGCCCTGCACCTGCTTCCGTGGGAATGAATGACAACACACTGACTGACTTTTGCACTGCAGAAAACAACACGAAAATCCCTGTAGTAAACAAAAATCAATAGACTGAAATTCCAGTTGTCTTTAATCTTCCCCTTCTTTGTTTTGAAGGGAGTGCATACAAGAAAAAAATGTCAGGGGAAAGCAGATTGATCAGAATTCAACCTGGGGGGTTTACATCAGCTGAAAGTTGCCTTCTGCACCAAGAGAAATCGTAGCAGATTGGTGTGGCTAGAGTAGAAAACACTAAGTAAGAGACAAACCACAAGTGAAGATTTTGTCATTGTAAATAGGTAATCAGTAACAAAGATCTACTTGGTACTTTGGTTCTTTATGAACAAAGTTACTGACATTTGTCTTAAGAAGACAGTCGCCAGAAGTACATGGATGTATCCCAGGTAACAGGCAAGGAGGCCACACAGTATTGATATATAAGCAAATACGTTCTGTTCCCCAACATCAGTGATTACTCTCCTAGCAGTGTTTATAGCCCATGTCAAAGCAAAAAAGCAAAGGTAAAATATCCTTTCCTTTTGGAGTTCTGTAGCAGCAAAAAACTTTTAGTAATGTTTTTCTGTATGTGCAGTTATTCTAATTGCTTCCATCATTAAGCACACCTCAGACTATGTTATTAGACCAGGAACAGTTTGGTGAAGAGTACTTTAAAACTCATTTACTTACTTATGCATATATCCATCTGCGTTCCCTGTTAAGTTCATCTGCATAACAGTCTGAAATTCTGTCTCATTGCAGCAGTATTTAAATACTGTGTTGTTATGGTGACAGCAAAAGATGTAAGATTTATTGTCAGAAAGACGGGGGCAGTGAAAACCAAAGTGGTAGCGGCCTTTGTAGTCCGTATACGGCTCACAGACCCGAAAATGTGCAGACAACACTGTAAAACAAAGAACAATATTGGCTTTGTGAGTCACTTGTGTTATCTGTATGATATAAACTGTCATTTTTCATTGGTTAAGCTTAAACAATTGTCTGATTTCTGAAAAACAGGAATGTTTCAGAACTTTCAACATTATAATATTTAGTATTAAAAGAGTACAATATTTCACCTCTTGTTTTGAGTTTAATTGCAACTGTTTCTGATTACTATTAGTCCTTGTAAGGGAAGAAATGCCCTCTATGTCAGTAAACACAAAAATATTTAGAGAAACGCTTTGATACTGCTGTTCTAAATATATGGATATCCATAAACACTAACAAAGTCCATGTTTAAGTCTCCCGGGATGACTTCATAAAATCAAAAAGTCTGTGCAAAAACTGCAATAAAAGTTTGATTTACAGTTACTGTTCTTGACAGAAAATACCTTCTCTAGTGTAAAGGTCATTCGTTGATAAGGATTATTCTGCCAAAAATAGTAGTTACAAAACAACGTAATAGATCTGAACAACCTTGATTTTTCAAATAGATAGAACTAAAAAAATACAGCTCTTCATGGGAGTTTTTACATTTCTCCTTTATTAAATGCTCATATAAAATGTTTAATACATCTCTGAGAACATCTTTTACAGGAATATGTCACACTGATTTCATCATAACTTTTCTTGGGGGGGGGGGGAGGGGGTGGAATCCTCTCCATATATATCCCTTGAAAATAGACTTGAGGCTGATAGTTGTGCTGCAACAGGCACACTGCGGTTACACCTACATGGTAAGACTGTGGGCAGATGCAAGCTCTCTGACCATACTTTAAGCCTACTGATTGCAAACAGCTCTGAACTGGAAGCCATGCAGTTGTCTTAGCTTTCAAGAGCTAATAAAGCTTGCAGAGGGGCAGGATATAGATCCCTTCTAGTACAAGCATAAGCAACCACACATGACTTCCTGGTTGATCAGAAGAGCCTTATAAGAGACAACATTTGGTTCCACATTCTGCCAACATTTGAACTGATTTATAGTTTATGTTATATAGGCCTTAAGACATCATTTAAGATTACATGTACTATACAGATGACCCAGAAACCTTACACTCTACAGACAGTGAAATATAAAAGTCACTTCTAAATATTCTTGGCAGTGAAATGTTTTTATTCTAATTAGAGAACAAAGACACAGTGATGCTATGGATCACTTCATGAGGTTTCACCAATTAGTAAAGGTTATTCACTTTAAACTGACAGAATTAACCCTTGTAACTTGGTGTATACTTTTTTGTATCAATTTACCAGTACAAGAGATTACAAATAATGACTTGCACGGATTTAGCTTAACTCTATTGAATCCCTCTGCACAGCCCCTGCTGATCTGTAAATGCTTCTATGCACCTTACCCATCTAATCCTTATTTCTTTCTATGTTGCTTGAAAAAGGCTATTCCTAACATTTTGTTTCTCTATTTTATAAAATGCATTAATTTCAAGAATTTCTCACTCTATTTCTGTAAGTCTAGTAAAATTTTAAAGATTGTGACCTTGGAGATTACTTCTTTATTTGTGTGTATAGAGCACAACACAAAACAAAATGAAAACTATTATAAATGTTTTGCATTTATATATATGTGTGTATATATATACACACACACACATTTGCATGCACACAATACACATCTGTCATCATTAACAAAAGAGAAAATCCTTTTGTAGATTCATTCATTCAGGAACTGAAAGTACTAGGAGTATGCTCTTTCTAAAGGAAGATAGATACTGAGAAAACTAGTTACATATGTGTTTTTGGCCTGCCTGGAAAAAAATGTGTTTTCCAAATCTGTGAATGCTATAATCAGCAAAGAAATTGTCTTTTAGACTTAGGTTTCCAAAACCCTCTGTAAGTCTTGCAACAGGATCTGCATGGTCCAACTCTATTGAAAAATCCTCAAAACATGTAATCACATGAACATATATTTGTTTGAACAAGTACTTATTTTCCTGCACCCCTCTTTAATTAACATTACAACAAAGAAAGTGTTCCAGGATTAAGTTTCAAAAAACCTCAGTGGTTGCAGTTAGAAGGGAGGTCATTTGGTGCAACCCCTTTGCTCAAGTAGGGTCACCTAAAGCCTGCTGCCCAGAAGCTTGTCCAGATGGCTTTTGAATTCTCTCCAAGGATGGAGATCTACAACCACCCTAGACAACCTGTGGCAGTGCTCAGTCACCCTCACAGTGAAAAAACTGTTACTTGACGCTCAGAAGGAACCTCCTGCGTTTCAGTTTGTGCCTATTACTTCTGGTCCTGTCACTGAGCACTAAACAAAAGAGACTGGGTCCATCTTCTTTGCATCTCTGCTTCAGGTCTTTACACACATTGGTAAGATTCTCCCTGATACTGAACAGTCCCAGCCCTCTCAGCCTTTACTTATATCAGAGATGCTCCAGTAACATTCATCATTCGGTACATTTTTACTGAACTCTTTCTAGTAGCTCCATCACCTTCCTTGACCTGCTGGCAGTAATTCTACTAAAGGAGCCACAAAGACAAAGAGATTTCCAGGCAGCTGGCCCCCGACATATACTGGTGCCTGACACTGTTACTCCACCAGAAAATGCAGGACTTAGTACTTCCCCTTGTTAAACTTCATAAGGCTCCTGTCAGCCCATTTCTCCAGCCTGTTCAGGTCCCTCTGGGTAGCAGCACAACCCTATGGCACATCAGCCACTCTTCTCACTTCTCTATCAACAGGAACCATTTGTGTTTGTTTTTTTTTCTCCCCACCTTCTCTGGTGTTCTCCGTATCCAGCCGAAAGATAACTTTCACTGAACCTACAGATTTCTTAGCAGAATTAGATGGCTTAATGTATGTACTACTTCAGTTGCAGCCACAGAGAAAATATTACTGATCTGATCAGTTTGACAGTTCTCAGGTTTTAGCCATCCTGACTTACACCTTCTTAGTTGGAGTACCTGCACTTTGATTATATCAGCTGCTCCTACGGAAGAAAGTTTTCTTCTTTGATAGATGGAGCGTAACACAAATTTTATCATGCGGCTATCGACAGAATCATAACTTTTTTTCAAGACTGTTAAGCTGGCACAGGTGAACAGCAGTCCTGAAAGGTTATTCCTGACCTGTATATACATCTAGTGCATCTTATGAGAATTAAAACTCATTCTTTCTGTTTCATAAGCAAACAATACTTCCGAAATTCTGAATCAATCAATCAATCCATCAATAATTCTGTAATTATTCAGTGGTCTGAGAGAGATATTGTATTGTAAGAATGCACTACAGGACTATAGGACCCTAAGAAATTTAGCTTGCTCATCACCACAAAGTGGTTTTCTTCACAGCACATGGAAACTGACCCCCAATTTCTAGATGGGTCCTTTGTCTATTCTAAAAGGAAAACAAACCCCAGACTTCTTTGGGGATGAAACTGGGGGAAGGATTACTGCAGAATGAAAGGAGAATGAAGATAATGTCAGGTCAGAGGAGGAGTGATGTCTGTAATAAAATGCCCTAAGTAAATCCTTATATAGTAAAATGTATGTCAGTGATGAAAATAAATGCACAAATAAGAGCATAACATGATGACTGAGTTACAGTCTGAATTTGGTAGAGAGTGTGTGGTGGGTTAATCCTAGTAGGCAGCTAAACACCACACAGCTCCTTGCTCACTCCCCCTCCCAGTGGGATGGGTGAGAGAATCAGAAGGGCAAAACAAGAAATTTTGGAGGTTGAGGTAAAGACTGTTTAATAAATGAAAAAGGAAAACCACCCGAACAACCCCAAAACAATAAACCCCCATTCCCCCCCAAAAAAAAAAACCAACCAACCCAGAAGTGATGCCAAAGCACTCGCTCACTACCAGCAGACTGATAGCCAAACCAGTCCCTGAACAATTTCTTTATGAACTCCAACCTAGTTTTATTGCTGACGTGCTGTTACATGTTACAGAATATCACTTCTGCCAGTTTGGGTCAGCTGTGCCTGCTGAGTCCCCTGCCAGGCTCTTGCCCACACCAGCCTCCTCACTGGGGTGCACAATAAGAAACAGAAGCAGCTTTGGCCCTGTGTAAGGACTGTTCAGCAGTACCAAAATTACTGATGTGTTACCGGCACTGTTTTGGTCACCAATCTGAAAGACAGCGCCATTTGGGCTGCCCTGAAAAAAATTAACCCCACACCATCCAGACCTAGTACACAGTGAAAAAAAAACCTATTAGTTTATTGTAACCCGTGTAATTTTACTTGCTGTATTTCCTTCTCTGAGAATCAAAGACCCAATAAACAAAGTAGGTTTTTTAATGTATTTTTCCTGAAAATAACTTTACTTAAATCCTGAGGATTAAAAAGCCTTATTTCTACATGCGAAAGTATTGTACCTGAAAAGCTCTTAAGTTGCCTGTTGCAGAGATGGCAGCTGTTTCTGAAGTGGAGCTGCAAGTGCAAATTCTCATATTAGTTTTAAAAAATATTATTAAACAGGTCAGTGATATGGATGCCTGTATCTGTTCCTACTAATTTTGAGAGGACGATAGTCTGCCATGCTTCAAAAGACTGATTAAAGCTCATTGTAGTATTTATCTACTCTACCTTAAAAAATAAACAGCCAGTGCACATCAAACTGTTACTTCCCTCTGTGTTCACAGTTACGGATATGCATAATGTTGATTAAATTTTTAATTTAGCTACTAAATTTTTAAAGCCCCAAAGCTTTCAGAACGGCTGGTCTGTATAAACTTTCCATATGGATCCACAAAAATATTCACTTGCATGCAATATACTTCACACAATGCCAATCATTTGAGAGCCTCTTGCTAATTCTGCTCTATGAACTCTCATTTCTGACTTCAAAGAAAAAATACTGTAATGTGCAAATAATCTGACAATTTTTGCTTGTTAATATAAGCCTTGCTGTCATCCCTGTTTTTACGAATGTGTTTCAATCCATTACGTGAATGTAAGGATGAACATTACTGCAAAACAAATCTAAGAGTTAATGGTCAGAAGGGTTATTCATCTGGCATGACTGCATGCTGCTCCTCTCACATTCCTGTGTAGCTATTACAACTGTTAAGTTTTCACAAATCCTAAAAATGCACACCATTTATGGTACTGAAATAAAATCAGTCTGAAGTTTCAGTACTCTCAATCCAATTTCATCTTTTTTTTTTTTTTCAAATGAAGCCATGGCCTCCCTGTTCTGAACTGAAACCTTTCTTTTCAGTCTTATTTGTCCCTGCTCTGAGATCATTCTAGCCAGAAAAGTGCATTTCTTCCCTAAAAGCACAGCTAAAGCTGCCAAACTGCAACCTCATTGTGAGCCATGACCTTGGTATCTGACCACACCTCTGCTCCACTGCTTCTCTCCTTTTCTAACACTATGAAGACTGGACTCTTGAGAACAGCTGCCCTGGGAACTTTTCTGTTACTCATGCCTTTACTTTCATTCTGTTTGTGGAGCGAATGAAAGTTACACCTCCAATTGTTAAGTGCGATTTCCAGCCATGCATACAGATTTTAGAAATTTAGTATTAAGACTGTGAATCTTAGTGTATCAAAGACTTGGAAGTAAAGCATGACCTTATAGACTTAAGTCTAAATCTAGAGAACTCAGAAGGAGTCTTGCCAGTAGATTTGCATTTCAGCTCAAAGTCATGTCCGTATTATTTCAGAGAGAGTAGCTTCCAATAGAAACAGCAGTTTCAAATAGTACTTCAGAGACAGTACTTCTCTTCTAAGAGGAGAAACAAACAAACAAACAAACAAACAAACAAACAAACAAAAACCAAACCCAAAACACTGGTTTATGTTTGGGTTGTATCAGGAATAGGTGCCTATATACAAGTATGTATATATATCAGCAGCTGACTACTTTTATTTGCACACAGGATGTAATCATAGTGTCCCATTCAACTGGAAGATAGGTATTTATATCATCTTGAAGAAAACGGTTGAGAAGTGGGGTCTCGGGAGGTCTCTAGTTAAGTCCCCTATAAAGGGTAGTAAAGGTATAAAAACTTAACAGAAATGAACAAAAGGGATTGGAGCAGCTGGAGAAGTTTTGCGATGTTTGATCACTGGGATACATTTACTGAAGTCTTCCTGAATAATTGACTTCATTCATGAACCAGGGGAATAACTTTCTGAACTGACTTTAACCTGGAAAAAAGCGAAGAAGCTGGTATAACCCCTGTGACTGCTTCCATTAGTGGAGGAGTGTAGTTACACAACTAGGGATACAAAGCCATACATAGGGGCATCAGTGGAAGGACTCTAAAGGAAAATAGTGTTTTAAGATTAGTCTACTTGATAATATTATAACCCTGTTATCAAAAGGAGTGTGGCAGTTACAGCCAAATAATGACCTATCATTAGCAAGAATCAACTTGAATGCTTCTAAACAAGCAATGAGACTGTGACAACAAAACTCACACTTGAACTAATTGACAAGAATCTAACCCTGCATACAAAGTACTAATACCTTTTTCTGGAGCACAAGGATACTTTAAGATGCATAATACCTGGTAAAGGTTTTGGTGTGGTGGTTAGGTATGCAATGTAGTAGAAGTGAATAAGGAACAGTGATGGGAAAAACAATCTTCTGGGATCAAAAGTGCTTCAAGAATTGAGGATAAAAGAGGTTGTACTTACAGTTAAAAACTCACAAGATCAAATCCATTTGGGCTATTTTTATTTTTTTTAGAAAAATATTCACTCAATTACAGAAAACCTTAATGCCATAAATAACATGTGATTAATAAATACAACTAATAGTCACAGCAGTCAACTAACTCTCAATATAACAAATGACAGTTTTCTGCACAAATCTTTTCTGTGTGCTAGTAGCAAACACCTAGGGCAGATCTAAGCATCAGGAAAAAAACTGCTGGAATTGCTCCCTAGTCCAGCCACTTTTTTAGATTTCAAGAAAATAACATAATATTTACATATCATGTTGTCATGCCTTTTTCTTTTAAATATACATAATAGTTAAGTTACATTGTAGCTAAATGCATTACAAGTTACATCGTATTAACATGTATAATTATTATGTTGTTAGTTACATTGTAGCTAAATGTGCTTCAAGTTACAGTGTATTACAATAACATTTACATTGTATCTAAATGTATTACAAGTTACACTGTATCTAAAATGTATTCACCTCGACAGCTGCCAAGGTTCCAAGTTCAATCCTTCACATGCTTATATACTCTTGAATGCATATGCATAAAATCACCTTGCTCTGCTTCCAATAGATTGCTATTTAGCAAAGCAAGTGGATAGTATGGTGGTTGAGATTGCTTTATTCTTTTAGATGAGCTGAAAAATTAGCTCATATCAGAACTGCTTCTTTTAAATTTTCAGCCTGCTTTGCCATGTCAGTGTCCCACCACCTTTTCCTTCTTAAATTTCTATTGCATTTCAAATTCCAGCTTCCAGTTTTTAAATACAAAGAGGCTTTATTTATGCATTACTTAGTTAACAATCTTGTTTGTTTTATAGGAGCCCAGTATTAAGTTGCAACTAATTTTTCCCTGTGGCACATACTGGTGAAAGATAAATTCAAAGTATGAAAGTTACCTGCTGACAAGAGTAATGAAAGCAGAACCATCAGCACATTCAAGGACTGTTGACCACAACTTGTCATCGTTGGCCTTCATTGATCCATTAGAGAATTACCTGTTTGAAAAGATGCAAATTCACTGTTAGGTGTTTGTTTCATCTCACTTTCATTGTTCAAGATTTTACTCCTCCACAAAGCATTGGAAAAAAGAGATGGCTTCCCAAAATAAGGAAAACAAAACAAAGAAAAAACCCAACAACAACAAAAAAACAAACACAACCCCCCCCCCCCCCCAAAAAAAAACAGAAGAAGAAAAAAAAACCCAACCCAAAAATCCCATACTTTTTTTTTCTGGACTTAAATAAATTCTCTATGATTTCATTAAAATTAATTTCTCATTAATATTTACAGCTATGTACATACTTTTCATTAGCCCAGAGTTGAGATAAATCATATAAAGTACTTATTGGATTTTCACACCTCCCCTGTAACCTACATTCAGAAAAACTATGCTTGCAGATAACAGTTGGGTCTGTTCAGCCTGGAGAAGAGAAGGCTGCGTGGAGACCTCATAGCAGCCTTCCAGTATCTGAAGGGGGCCTATAGGGATGCTGGGGAGGGACTCTTCGTTAGGGACTGTAGTGACAGGACAAGGGGTAACGGGTTAAAACTTAAACAGGGGAAGTTTAGATTGGATGTAAGGAGGAAATTCTTTCCTGTTAGGGTGGTGAGGCACTGGAATAGGTTGCCCAGGGAGGCTGTGAATGCTCCATCCCTGGCAGTGTTCAAGGCCAGGTTGGATGAGGCCTTGGGTGATATGATTTAGTGTGAGGTGTCCCTGCCCACGGCAGGGGGGTTGGAACTTGATGATCTTAAGGTCCTTTCCAACCCTAACGATTCTGTGATTCTATGATTCTATGATCCAAACCACTGTATTTTCAGCTTTAAAATAATTCAATTAGAAGGCATAAGCTCATCAGGGGATGGAGTGGAAGTGCAGAAAACTATGAATGCTAATTAAGAATATTTCTTCAGTCACTAATCCTGTTTGAAAAAGCCGCCACCTTTCTTCAAAAGGAATATCATATTAATTAAAACACCAAGCAGACAAAGTTAGAATTGCATAAAACCCAGTGATATTGAATATAAGCCAGAGGTTAAGAATGCAGGAGTTTAATCAAGAAAAACAGATACAAAGAACAAGGTACTGCCAATATTGTTAGGAATAAAAGCAATAAGTTGTTGTTTTGCTGTTTGTTTTTTTTTTCCTGAGTATGCCAAAGCTGCAGAAATTCTGATAGCAATTCATTACTAGAGGGAAATGTTGGCTTTAGTAACAGTTAATTAAAAAGAGATCAATAAGCACTTCTGTTGTGTATCTGGGAAGACACAGATGTTGGGTATAACTGAGACTATTAAATATTTCCACATCAAGAATAATTAGAATGACACGAATTTGATATTTGCAAGTCTGTGTAATTTGTATCCAGTTCTTTTAGAAGAGCTGGCTGGGGAACATACATATTTTCTTTTCTCAGCTTGTTGGGAAACTGTGGCAGCTTTCAGAGGGTTTAAAGAAACCTAAGGATATAAATGAAATAATCCAAGGAATTAGAAGCTTGTGAGCATGATGTGGATCTAGAGAAAGTCAATAGAATGGTTAATATAGAATCCAATCAATAATTAAGGATTAATAGAATTAGCGCATATCACTGTGGCCTTATGGTAAAGTAAATTTCATTGCTCTCAGTGTGGTTGTTGATGAAGGTAGCTTAAAGATAGCAATAATAAATTTCTGTCAAATATCTCACTTAGTAACATACAGTTGGCCAGGCAATAAGAATGATGGGAAAAAAACAAAAATAAAAAAGCATTTCAGTTATGGAAGACTAACTTAGACTGGAAATAAGATGCAAGTTTTTTGCAAAGTACAGTCTTCCTAGTAATTGAGTACAATACAGCCTTACTGGTAATTTTTAAATCAGTCCTGTATGTAGAAATCTAGAAGGTTTTCAGGGACGGGAAGATTTATTCAATTATGTCCAATGGAACTGGTAATAATTAAATTGGCATTTTAATCCAAGTCTTGTGATGCTTGTATTTTTATTAAGTGCCAGCTGGGAAGATCAGAGCAAGATACTGGGACACTACAGCTACACATCAAAGGCTGGGAAGATGACAAAATCTGTGTAGATGTATACATATATATGTGTATTTGCGATGATAGGGAAATGCTCAATTTTATAACTACTTCTTCAGTGGTCATTAAACTGAATATTATGATTTTATGGAGCACAAAGATACAACAAACCATTCACTACTTGACCATTTAAAAATACTTTTTTTACATGCTGTTATCTGACTAAAGCAGTTATGTTTAGGGCAGTACCATGAGGATGTCTCTGAGCTATTAGAGCTCAATCATCCAGGTCAAAGAGACAGGAAGGAAAACAGGTGACAGGCTAGAAGAAAGTGTCTAGATCATAGAAAGTATGTTTTAATGCTAGGCTACAGAATAAAGATGGCAGGAACATAGTATTTAGCAGTGATTTAGCTGATTATTAGTTTTTTTTTTAAATGTTTATTATTATTCAAGGCTGACAGGACATTTTAAAATTAGAGAATTAAATTTGAAAGAAATAAAATAGGTATGGTTGTGCTGGGTTTTTGTTTGCTTGGTTTGTTGTTTGGTTGGTTTGGTTTTGTTTTAGAGGAAATTTGGCAGTCTGGAGGCTAAGAGATCAGGTTGTCTTTCTAGGTCTGTAACCAGCAGTTAGAAGGGTGGTCTAATGCATTTATTTGAATTTTTAATTCCCTATTTTAAGCTTATTTGTGGCCATTGTGAAGGGAAGGAGTATGTCCATCCTTTACCATATCCATCCGGATTCCAAGCCTCACACCACCTCCTCCCTTCTGCTGGCTATCATGAATATCTTTGCAGCTACATCATAAAGTAGACTAAAAGAAATGGTTGAGGAATCACAATTTTAGAGGCTTTTTTTTCACCCTGTGTTTCAACGTATCTACTGTGAAATAGAAAAAATGGTCCTTACTTTTTTGTTTTTAATTGCTTTGCTATCTTTTTGTGGAATAAGGATTATGTTAGGAATACTGCTTTTCCTTGCAGAAGGTGAACAGTGAATGACTCAAAAGGAAAAACATTCAAAGGCAAGGTGCTGTAATGTTATGATCAAGGAGGACAGGTATTAATAAGAGACAGAGCAGGGGGGTGGCTTTTGTTTTTGCTAATGAAAAGTCTGCAATTGCAGCTTAACTTCTCACTACCACTACAAAAACTGAACTCATTTGCCTTCAACCTCCCTCCTCACCATGGACTAGTTGCAGGGACCAGATACACGTATCAGATCGCTGTGCCAGATCTTCCTTTTTACTTACACACCATGACATTTTAGCGCTTACTCTGCTGCCATGTACATTGCTTTGGTTATCCTTATAGTTTTATCTACCTGTCTTTTCTTGAAGGAAATCAGTGAATCACTGGAAAGAAAAACTGCCAAGGGCCATTTCATGTGGCAAGATTTTTATGTAGAAATAATTTTCCCTTCACTTTGAAGTAAAATAAAAGTTAAGTGCAGAAAAGATTTTTGAAAAACATTGCACATTTTGCATTTTTTGGCTATGAGAAAGAGCAAAAGGAGCTAGCAGGAGAATTTATTAAATACACCAGCACTGCTTCACAAAGTACCTCTGTATAGAATAACAGAAAATAAAGCAATTCAAGAGATCATTTGATCCATCTTTCTGTCGCAGGACTAAGTACATCTAAAGCATTCTTAGCAGAAGTTCACAGAATCTGCACAATAGGAGGGGTTTTCTAGCCTTCTCAGGCAATTCCTCTCCAGTGTTTCTCTAACCTCATGGCTAGAAAGGTTTTCCTGTGTCTAACTTGCAATTCCTTTGCTTTGATTCAAACCCATTCTATCCCCAGTAGAACTGGAGAACAATTTACCTACAGATGCATCGGTTTCACCTCTCTGCATCAGTCCTTGAGTAATAAATACAAGAAATGCTATCATATCTTCACTCAGCCTTTTCTTAGTCTGAAAACAACGTCCACCTCTTACAATCTTCCCTTAAAAAACCTATTTGCTCTACCTCTTATGCCTTCTCTTAAATCTGGCTCTACATTTTATGGCAAGGTTGTTCACGTAAATTTAGTGTCACTGCAGTTTCAGCTGCTTGTATTTGCTCAGTGCCAGAAGGTCCTAAAAAATATCCCAATAGCTGCAGACTCTTCCAAGGTAAATAAAATGACAGCATTGCGTAACTGCATAGAGCCATAGAGCTTCTGCCAATTCTCATAGTTAACGAAAGGATACATAGGTATATAACTGTTTTACCAAGATAGGTATATCTACATGTATAGATACAACTATACAGGTAAAAAGCGTACTGCCACATGGGACATAACTGAGGATGAATCCGCCTTTTCACAATAATGTCCAGCATGCCTTCCAATCTCAGCAAGCACCAGTGACCTGCTCCTGGGAGCCACAACAGCAATCACAGTGATGGGCTTCCCTCCGCTTCTCCATCTCTTGGGACATGGTCATCTTTCACAGTTACGATTAAGTGATACCTAGAAAAGCTCTAGATTTCCATAATCTCTTATTCCCCACTTTCCTCCTGGAAAACATCCTCACTAACCTCAGACACATTAGCTTTGCTGTACTTCCTACTTTGCTGGGACAAGTAGAATCACCAGCAGGGAAGTGGCCTCCTCTCAACCCATTTGCTCATCTGAAGAAAACAAGCAAAACAGGTTGCATTGTGCCATCAGTGAGGGGACGAATAATATGGCAGAGACAACCACAATGATTGAAGAAGCTGTTTAAAATTGGATAGAAACAAGAAGGCTGTGATTCAAACTTAAATTCTATCTCAGCTCTCTTCATTTCTCATGTTAAAGTAGACTTAAAAATGCATTTAGTATGAGTTCCTGAATGTTATTATAATGAAATTACAATCTTACTGTAAATGTAAATTGCATGACAGAAAACCTGATTATTAAGAAAACATGTCATTTCACACTCAAGAATATTACCTCAAGAATATGTTTATGAAAAACAGATACTAGTTTTCTGCTGACAGTTGT